GACCCCCTGAACAAGAATATCATATCCACTTGACGCCTTGATGACGGTTTCCGTCAATGGTGAACGACAGCTAATTTGTCTTGGGGGACGGTTTCACCCAGTGCTGTCACCGTAACCCAATGAGTTATTATGTAAAATTAATATTTGCGGGCCACGGGAATGCGATATCGGTCTTTAGGTGGTCAAACTACCCCGAAAAACAAATTTTCAGTCAAATGTGCCTCCAGAGGAAGAATTTGAAAAAAATTGCCTGGTTTTGGAATACTGAAACAATAAAAGCTAAACTGTGTCAAAGATTCGGAATTCCTATGCTCGTCTCTTGCATTTCTTGATGCGTTTCGATCGTAGTCATTCCTTTACCCGGAAATTACTAAGTTTCAAAGAAGAAAAATGTGCCGTTCCACGCGCAAGTCATGGGGAAAATGGCTCGTCCTAAACGTGTTGAAAGTAGCAGCTCTTTCTGTAGTTTTGAAACTATACAACTATGAGACTGTGTTAACAGGCAGGATCCCTTTCGCATGTCCCGCTGGCTGTAATTTTTTCGTAATATGATGTTTCTAACTACGTCTTTTGCATTGTTTTTTACTCTCAGTGTAACTGATTCTGATTTGGAACAAATGATTCAGGATATGTGTTTTCGAGACAATCAAACTAATTACAAGTAACCCTTGTTTTTATCATGCAAAGTTATCAAGTTAATAATATTTTTGCCAAGTTAATGTTGCCATAGTTCATGCTACCGAGGTTATGTTACTGATGTAACGTTACCACTTCCAGGATAAACAAAGCTTTCAATAATGGACGATGAAAATCAGTTCTAGGACATATAAGGTGCCTAGAACGCAAGCTGCAAGAGCTCCACCTCATTCTGTTTGATAAATATCAGTCCTGAAATGACTGAAATATTCACAGCTCAAGAAACAGAGTTCCCGCTCATTCTAAGAGTCAGACCAGCGAATCATCAGCACATGCTGTTTTGTGTTCAAATTTGCGCGCGCGGGAAGATAATTCAAACTGAGTTTGTATTCAAATTTGCGCGCGCGTGGTAACAGTCGGGTGCGGAATCTAAGCCGCGTTCCGTGTGATCCAATCAAGTGAGAAGTGAGAAAGAAAACAGTAAAACCAAGTGAGAGATCAATGCTTGAGCCCCTTTTCCGATAGCGCTTGATTGGCCACAACCAACCTATCGCATAACAAATGCTCGTTTTTAGTGTCAGGAAATCCACGTTTTAAAACTTGGAAAGAGATCTAGAAGACGTCTACCAGAGGCCTGAGCGTTCTTGTGTTCTTGTGAGATCGTTTTCGAGCGTTTGCTACCTTTTTGTTGAGACTTTTTCGCTGCAAAAAAAAACGATAATATTAGCAACACGGGAGGAGAGGTTCATCAATGCCAGGCTCGAAGTTGAGCATTTTCTGCTCAATCAGAGAAGAAGGTGTGTAGGGAATTACACTGTAACACGCCTTAGTGGTCGTGGTGTTGCTTGGGAACTCTATTGTAAAGCGAATCGTAGCTCCGTTCACGGGGTTTTTATTCTTGAAATAAACAAACAAATAGTGTCATATGGAATATTCGAGAGATAAACGTTCTCGCCGTTAAACGATCCCTTTTTAGATTGCATCTCAGGGGCCTCGGCTGTTATGGGCGGGAGCAGAGCTGAGATTCGTGACCGTCGGATGTGTGAACTATAGGCGGGCCTTCTACCGCTCCAACACATTCGTCCCATTCAAAATATGTATTTTTGAAAGGGAAACTCCAGAATGAAACGATTACAGAACGAGGTGAAGGTGGTGTAGTGGCAAGTGGCAGTCTGGTAGTTGAAATCCTGGTTCGGCCCCTACTCAGGCCAACCAAGCCTTCTACCCTCCGGGGACGGTAAATTGGTACCAGATTCGTCTGGGAGGATAAAACACTGACTTGTACATCGGCTGGCCGCAAGTCATTGTATAGGCCACATCGCATTCAATAAGCCACTACGATTCTGAATGGAAGTAGAATGCGTGCCGCATCCCACAAAGGGATTGATTGACGGGGAACACTTCAGACGTAAGACTCTAGAATACAATATGAAAGTTCTTGAGAAGAGTGAACGAAACCAATGTAGCGGATTCGGCTCGTTTCAACGTTTGGGAAGCATTTGCTACGGAAATCATCTCCTCGTTTAGATGGTTTATGCGCGGAGCAAGTGCTGCAGTAGCAGATGGAGCACACTCACAGTCACAGAGTCAAATCCAAAACTCCCCCCCCTGACAAGCCATTATTGAAAGTCTTCCATCTACGGAAGACCGTTAATGAGCTCAAACGTAAGCCTGAACCACTAGGAGGCTAGGGAAACAAATACGGCACCAATTTTTCTCTCGGAAAAGTAGTCTCTTGAAAACAAGTCCATGAGCAGCAAGGGTTTCACTAGTTCCCTTCAAGATTAACGATTCCAAGAAAATACGAATGAATGAATAGACGGACTGCGAAATTCTGACCGTCAGGAATCGATACATCGTCAAGTCCAGCGTATGTGGGGGAGTAGCGTGTGAATGCATCGGAAATGCATAGCAATAGCTGGCACCCCAACCACTGGGCCATCTTATGTGGGCAATCCAGTGGAGTCGTAAAAAGGAATTCCAGCCGGTTTAGTAAGCTTGACCAGTGACGTCATGCACTTCTGAATCGCCAGAGTGCATTAGGGAGCTACCCTCAGTCGTTAGAAAACTCCAATACCTTGGAAGTAGGGTGACGAAATCGCCACCCTAAACAGATGAGTGGCACCAGGGTAGCATCGTTGTGTGAAACAATAGCTGGCACCATGGGGGGTGTCGCACTTGGTCCCTGAGGAGGGGGATCGTATTTGGTCGTTGTTGGGAGAGGGGGGGGGGGGGGTTGTATGTGCCTTCGAGAGAAATCTGCCGCGTTGGGAAATAAATTTTTCTCGGTTGTTGACTTTTCGCAGTTTTTCCCGTTCCCTCCCCTTAGTTGGTGGCATCGCCAAAATTCTATAGAACTACTATTCCTGATACTTGGAAATACTAGTGGTTGCTGACAACTCCCCCCCCCCTACACCCCGCTCGACGGAAATTTTTTGGGTGAAAAACTGGAAAATGTGGAAAATTTCGGAAACTGGTAGGAAGCTGGAAACTTGTAGGAAAGTGGTAGGTTAGGTGTTGGGAAAGGGGGGGGGTCGTACCGAGACCCTCTTTCCGGGGGGAGATGACACCACCATTTCACACATTACGATGCTGTACACTGGGTGGCACCATGAACAAGAGAACTACGGTCCAGAATATGGTCCAGAACTCCGGTGGACAAGCTAAGCTAGTTTCGCAGAGCGCAACAGGCTTGTGTTCTACTTTTACAAATGTTTCCAGAAATTTAGAGTGTCAAATCACGCTGAAGGTCAGACTTGGATTTCAATCGGATAGGCTATGGATTTGTGAAAGCCTTACAGAGCTTGGAGGCTCCTAAGTGTCCCGCTACTTTGCGAGTTATTCTATACTAGTAGATTCTACGAGATTCACTCCGTCGCAGTCGAAGGGTCCAGGTACAGCATCGTTGTGTGAAACGCATAGGCGGGGGGGTCGTACTTTTTGGCTGGAGAGGAGGGTATATAACTTTCAGAGGAATTTGCCGCGTTGAGACAAAAATTTCCCCGGTTGATGACTTTTCGTGATTTTTCCTGGGTGGGGGGGAGGGTCGTATTGACACTACCATTTCACACATCCACACATCACCATGCTGTACCCTGTTTCCACTAACTGTTGTAGCTTGCTCGCTTCAACAATTGGTGGAGAATGGGTTGGCGGTGTGGAGAAACCCAGCCTCCCCCCCCCGTGACACGCATCCGCAACGATGCGCAACAGGCGCCGATGTACACGTGTCAGCGTTCTTATCCTTCCAGACGAATCTGGTACCAGTTTACTGTTCCCGTGAGTAGAAGGCTTGGTTGGCCTGGGCGATCCGGAATCTAATCCCCGGACCAGGGGCGGGATAAGCGCGCTACTTACCTATTTGCGATATTTCAGGTTACGTGACAACTAACACTTTTGGTGGGGGTCCTGCCACGATAGGCCAGAGCGCAGAGCAACAAGGGACTGCGACTGCCAAGGCATCGTGAGGTACAAAAAACACGATGCGAGCCAGGAGATGAGTTTTTCGAAGGGAGGGGATACCGGGGTGGATGAGCCACTTAGTATGCGTGAAAAGTTGGAATGTGAAAGGTCAGAGTGTCACATAAATCACCAGAGAGCGCAAGAGAAAAGAAAAAGTTGGCGCCATTAAAGGAATTGAGTATTAGTTGTCCGTAGACCGATATTTCACTGCAAGGAGATTGAGCCCGACAATTGACGAAACCGACCACAAAAGAATATGTGATTTTAATAATCAAGGCTCATGTAGGAAGGGAGGAAGGAAAAGAAGGGAAGAGGAGGAAAACTGGAAGCAGAGAGGCTTTACGATATTCTGAGGCGCCCCCAGATCCACAGCCCAGAACCTTAGCGCCGTGTCAGTGCTTTTCACCCGCCTCAGCTATTTCGGAAAAAAAGGGACAAAGCTCCATCACATGAAGCTTTCCAAGAAAATACCACAAAACGCTAACTTTTGTGAAGTGAGTAAAAAAGTTCGCCCAATTCCCACTCTGAAAAAAAAAGAACAGAATATTCATAACTGTCACGGAATATTTTTACTATATTGACTGCGCAACAAGCAAACAAAATTATTCAACATTCCAACCGAAAACTATTCAACAGCAACTATAACAGAATTTGAAGTACAACTTCAAATGAAGCAGACTCACAAGTTCAAGGGAATTCGGGAAACATACGAACTGACAACTTTAACAGATAACAATCACTATACACATATGTCTCTCTTATACTCAAATATGTTCTAATATCTGTAAATAAACATAAAATCAAAGAATTCCATCCGCAGAGAGCGAACAATTTCAACAAACAAGCCATCAACAGACTAGGAATATTCAACAAATATATGCGATTGAAGGAACAATTCAACACTAAATCATATCCATTGTATTCTCTATGTGTCTCAGACCTGGACTAGATGAATATATCGTAAACATTGGACCACACTGCGGCAACCCTGTCGGACGAGATTCAGAATACGAACCTGAAAATAATAGCAATGGAAACTTTGGTTAGGAAGCTGTTTTAGTTTTGATAACTGCACGTTGGACGTGTGAGTGCTATAAGGCTATGGCACGAAATGCCACTGAGCTCACTAGGGAAGGTCGTCAGGTCGAAGTGGCCATTTGTAATGAGATGTAGCTCACTAGACGTGGTTTTGGACGCTGATCTCGAATCTGCCTTCGAAATTTGCAGAACGATTCTCTGAACGGAGTTATGGAGCTTTTTCCACCGCGTTTACCACGCAACAGGTCGTGGGATCGGATCCCTGCTGAGCTTAACTTTTTTGCTTCTTGTGCAAACGTGGCAAAAAGTGGTTGTAGCGTCACTACTACATTAGCGCTCTCCTTGACTTGCCTGAAAAACAGTTTGTGTTCGCTTACTGGCGCGCTTAGTGCCTTATGATCTAGGAGAATTTTAGGATGTACAGGTGCCCTTGGCGCGCAGTGCAGACGTTTTCGCGCTGAGCGAGTGCCATATTCGTATTTATGGGGCGAACTACGCCTAGGTAGAGGTTTCTAGCCAAATCTGCCATTTTGACCTGACTTCGACAAGTGAAGCATCCATGGGTTAGTTCTATAGATGTTAACACCTATTCAGCTGCAGATACATTCTCCTGCACAAAGCCTCGTCTCCCCTCTTCTTACGCATTCATGTTGTTACTGCTCCAGTTTTCCTGTATCTAAAGGCACAGTTCGCGACCGCAAATTGCGGGAAACGGAACTCAAATAGGCACAAAAAAGTGCTAAGTATCTGATTAGCGGAGAAAAGCAGCAGAAAAAGCAGTCCGAAATGTTATAGAGAAAGATAACATAGTGGCTACTAGCTAGTAGCTAGCAGCCGGTGAGGGTCGGCATGGGCCTAAGGGGTGTCCATGGGCCTAATTAGTCAGCTTCTAGCGGAGTTCTTGCCGTTTTTCACATTTTGAAAGTAGCGCAGCCTCAAAAATCGCCTTCCGGATCGTCCGACACATTTGAGAGGTCATAGCCTTATTTTATCGCGGAATGTGCCTTTAAGCAAATTCCGTCCAAAGACAAGCAATCGACAAGAGACTGGCCCTGGAACTATTGGTGACCATCATTCGATCAACTGCTACCGCACTTTTCAAAGTTAGGTCAAAACCTCACATCTGGCTAGAAACCTGTCCCCAAGGGTAGTTTTGCTCCCTGAACACGAATATGGCACCCATTTGGCGTTTGAGTGTTTTCTAGACTCAAAAGAGACATTCCCCACAAAATGCAAAACAAGTTCCCTCCAGAAATCCACGCAGCAAGACAGTTACCTCCACACCATGCCGCCATCGAACGGAATGTGCTCCCCGGCTATTCAAGCGAAGTGGCTGGCAACCGCGCTCGACTGTGTTTTCCTTCATTTTAATTCTAACAAACCTTCATAATTCCGTTCAGAGAATCGTTCTGCAAATTTCGAAGGCAGATTCGAGATCAGCGTCCAAAACCACGTCTAGTGAGCTACATCTCATTACAAATGGCCACTTCGACCTGACGACCTTCCCTAAAGGCTATGGCACGAAATGCCATTGAGCTCATAGAGAAGGCAAAGGAGGCCCCGGTAGCGTAATGGATAACGCAACCGCCCGGTAAGCGGGAGATGCGGGTTCAAGTCCCGTCCCGGGTCCGACTTTTACCAATATCTCAGCCTTCTTGTGATAACTTCGGTTAGGTTTTTTTAATCAGCCATGCTTCTGACTTCGACCCATCGCTGTTTGCCTGTATTACCAGTTAGCCCTTTACAAATTTAGGTCAAGTTTTTGAAGTTCAAAAAATGGCATTACCTCTGGCCCAACTTAATACGATCAGCAGAAATAAGATGTTCGTAAAGCTGCGTTCATACTTTGCGTCAGCTTCCACCAGCGTCCAGGAGTGGAGAGGGGAAGTAGGAGGGTAGCGGACAGCTGGATTAGGCGTCGTGAAGTAGCTGCTTGTTCAGCCGCACCGTACAACTAATAAAGCACAGAATTATGCAATCCTGTGTACGGTGTAGCGCAGTTGTAGTGCGGTTGCAAACGCCGCAATTTCACGACGCCTAATCCTGCCTTCCACCTACTTCCGTGTACTCTTCACTGCCAGCTGCTGGTGAACGCTGCCGGGCGCTCGAAACGGCTAGTGGACGCTGGTGGACGCTGCCGCAAAGTATGAACGCAGCCTCATAGCAGATCGCATAATAAATGTAAGAGTTACCTATAACCATGTCATCTTCTTCGAGAAAATCCATATTATCTTCATTGACAGAGGTACTGATCTTAGAGCTTTGCAGTACAGATGACACCTCAGTCTTATCCTCAGCCAAAGGAGAAAAGCGTCGCATCTGCGCGCACACCAGAGAAATTGAGCTGCAAAAGCAACCGTTTCATTTAGCTTTGAGGAAAAACACTGACAGTTCTTCTGCTAAATAATTCCAGGATGACTGAAATGACAGAACAGCTCAAGCATAAGCAGAACAAATAACCTTTTGAGCTTAAAAGTATCGAACGGAAACATGGGTTCAAACGGCAGTTTAGTGCCAGCATCGAACGGCAGCAAATGATTGCAGTATACCAACTGTAGCGACCTGTAATGATTGATAAATGAGAGTGGCAGGATAGTTCTGGTTCTATTTCATTGATTAGCCGTTTGGGAATTTAGATCCATTGAAGTTAAAGACCCCCTCAACTGAAACCTCGGTTTGAAAACATTGCAAGGCTAAACTTAAGGGAATTCTTCAAGAGCATGAGTTCAAGAACAGGAATGGGAGGGGAGGAGATATTCCTGCCGTTGGGGAGGAACTTCGAAAATACGACCCGCGCCCTCGATTTTTCCTCTTTCCCAATCCCACATGCTACTTGCCATCCTCCCAACTACCAAAATTCCCCAACTTCATACCACTTTTCGGACTGTTTTCTAGGAATTCTCCACAATTCTCCACTTTCTCCAAGAAAAACTAAGGTCCAGTAAGGCCGGTAAGCCTTATAACACAAAAAAATGAGAAAAGGCATTTTCTCAAAGGCAAATACCAGCCCTCCTCCTTTCCTTCTAAATACCAGCCCCTTGCTGAGGGTCTACGACGTATGCCAGGCCCTATTCATGGAAGGCTACATGAAAATCCGTGAGAACCGTAACATTTAATGGTTCAAAAAGGCCGTTTGAAAAGGAAGGAAAACGGACAAATATGGAATTTCGAGCGTACTCACCTACTAATGGCAGCAAAGCATAATGCAACAGGCCTAACAACGTATTTCAATGGATCCAGCGGCGAATGAACAATGCGTCCAAGTCCCCATCTACCAATTTCTTCGATATCTGAAACGGTCCGCTCAAATTCAACGAGAAAAGCGTGGATTCAGCAAGAAGCTACCACGAATAAAACAATGCTGAGAAGATATGTCTATTCGTTTTATGCAACACTTTTGACGCTTAATGCATCCACATTTCAGGCCGTGTCTGTCTTCTGGTTCTACAGAAAACAGGATATGCGCAATATCTCAACGGCACTCAGAGCTTAAACATACAACAACAAGAATATATCAACAACATATCCCCCACAACGACCTCAGGAACCCTGTGACATCACGCTATGCTGAGAAAATTTGTAGTCTTACTGGCGTGGAAGTTTGATAGCACATGTCAAAGTCGACATGAAAGCAAAGCGCGTAAAAATGCAGTATTTATTAGTATAGCCGCAGAGACCTACGTGCAAGCGCGCGCGAAGAGCTTCTAAACACAACAACGCTTTTTACCTCTCTTCTTCTGAATT